GTATATATATATATATATATATATATATATTCATAAATTTGTTATGACTGATAATAAAATTTCTCACTTTAATAAATCAAATTTAGGCTTAGATAATCCAGACATTCTGTACTGATAGTACCAAAATTTCGACCTCTTAAAATCTGAGGAAGAGCAGGACATATTAGTTCTGTCTAAATTGTGCACTAGAAAAGTGAAACTTCTATACAGGTGAGTAAATAAAAAAGACAATAACCAACAAACTGGATAGAGACTAATTTTTTACATGTTTAATGAAACAAACTCCTATTACCGCATTACAACTAAAGGATAAAGCCATATTATTTACTGACAACTTAAAAATAAATATACTGCAACAAAACATGAAGGAAATTGATATACAAACCATATAAAAACTTCTTATTTTTATTGGTTGATTATGTTTAGTGTTTGTGGTATTTTTTAATGGGAAAAAAGTGCTAAGGAGCAGAAAAGTACATTTCCTTTTTGTCAATTGTACTTCTAAGATATTTTAAATTCTGTAACTTAAGTATTCTGTTCTATCTGAGCACATCAGTATATAGTAACTGATTTGCAAAATTCCACTGTTTGGTTAGTTATAGCTTTGGAAATATATGATATCTATAGAATCAGTTGACCATATTTGAAAAGAGCCATCAACTCTTAACAACATCCCATCATTTTGCATAAAAAAATTATGTTGTAAATTTGGAAATAATGAAGAAACTGGCAGAAATGTGTAGGATTCATAGTAAGGCAGTCTCATTACTATTAATATATTTAAGTTTTAAAAATGTAAAGACAAATGAGGTGAAACAGTTGTTAGTATACCATATCTTTGGTATTAAAAAAAATGAGAGAGAGAGAGAAAAAAAAAGAGATCTAAAACTCCACAAATCATTTTACTTGTGACTGATATTTTACAATAATAACTTTCTCTGGGACAGGGACTTTCCTAACACTAAACCTAAAATGTACCAGAAACTATTCTATTTGTGCTCAATATTTTGCCGTGACAGTTTTGAATTGAAGAATACTTATGTGCACAGCAGATCAAAGTGCACACGTCAAAATCTTTTACAGAGTTACCTTCACATTTTAATTAAACAATGTATGTTAATAAACTTGACATCAAAACATATTTCATAAGTCATATTTCATTTCTACATTATCTAAGTTTTAATACTTAAGTTTCAAAAGGAAATATTAAAAAATTTTCAATCTTCACTTTTCTGTGTTATACGACACTTGCATTCTGAATTCTCCCCCTAGAGATTTTATATCTTTCCAAATATGGCTTTCAGTGTCCATCCAATAAGAAAACAAAATTATACATTATGACAAGCAAGAATAGAAAATTTGAATCTCATACCTTCTCAAAGGTACAGTCAGTGTTAAGGTAGAGAAAATAACAGAAAAAAATAGTTTTACAAAAAAAGAAACAAAAAACTTTTGATATTCAATTAGGTTCTAGGGGTTACGAAAACCCACCAGAGAAGCCCCTCCCATCTTTCCATAGTTTTCATGACAATTATCAAATCATGTCCTTATCTGAGGGACACATTTATAATCCATAAAAGAGCATTTTATCCTTTAAAAAAAGCTTATTACAGTTATTTCTGTTTGATGGGCATACATAAACAGTAGGCCTTAGATTCTTTGTCTGTGATAATTTTTGTTCAACTCCAAACATTTTTTTAACTTATTTGTATCTTAGTTAGAAAGTTGATTAAATTACAGTAGTTTTGGGACATTCTGTTCTAGTGCTTGATGTATTTTGTGAATTCCATAATGTATATTTGAGAGCAATGAGTTACATTAACTTTTATTTGAACAAGTAACTTAGTGAAGAAAAAAGTGAGGCTTATAATAGTTACTCTATGAGTGCAAAAACCATGTGGGTAATGCACTTTGATTCTTTGTCTACGATCATTGTTGTTCAATGCTGAACAGCTAATGAAATTCTTTAACCTATTTATAGTTTAGTTATAAAGCTAATTAAATTATAGTAGTTTTGGAACATTCTATTCTAGTGTCTGATATATATTTTTAATTCTAAGATGCATATTTGAGATCTACATAAATTTCTTTTTCAATAAGTAACTTAGAGAAAAAAAGTGAAGCTTAGTTCAGTTACTCTA